GGGGGAGCGGTTGCTTTTCTCCCTGCACGTAAGAAGTGGAGGTGTTTGCTCCGTTGCAGGCTCATCGCGGGGACCCAGCCCCCTCACCATGGGGGCACAGGACACCCTGCCCGTCGCCGCTGCCTTCACGGAGACCGTCAACGCGTACTTCAAAGGGGCTGACCCGAACAAGTAGGTCCCAGCTGGCGGCATCTGGGTGTCGACATGGGGGTACGGGCAGGCTTGGGGGGCTGTCGAGGCTCTCGAGCATCTCGAGGGATGGGGAGGGAGGAAAGGAGGTGCTGGGGTGTCGGTGCACGGCACCAGCTGGGGGTCCGGGCTCAGGATGCTCCTGGGATGTCCCCAGGAGCATTGATCCCCATCCCTAGCAGGCTGCAAGCCTTTGCTGCTATTCCAGCTCGCCCCAGTTTAGGACCACACGCAGCTCGCTCCCCCAGCGCGGCGGGTGGGAAGTGGGGGGCTGTCACCCCACCATCCCTGGCGTGAACCCTCCCCTCCCGGCGCGTTTTGAGCCCCTTGTTTCCTCCCCCCTCGGTCTCTGCGTCCGGCGCTGCAGGTGTATCGTGAAGATCACGGGGGAGATGGTGCTGTCGTTCCCAGCGGGCATCACCCGACACTTTGCCAACAACCCGGCTCCGGCGGTGCTCACCTTCCGCGTGCTGAACTACAACCGGCTGGAGCACGTCCTGCCAAACCCCCAGCTCCTCTGCTGGTAAGCCCCCAGAATAGAAAAGCAGGGTGCTTTGCAAATCCACGTGGCCTGGAGGATCTTCCATGGAAGCCTGCCCAGATTTTGGGAAGGAAGCTCTCAAGCCCTTAAATATTTGCCGGAGTAATCCCTCTGAGAGCAGCCCCTTTGCCAGGCAGAAGAGCACAGGCAGAGATGGGGTTTGGTTTTTTGGTGGGGATTGCTGGTTTTGTGCAGAATGCTGGTTTTTAAGAAGAGTATGGCGAGCAGATCGAGGGAGGTTCTCTTCCCCCTCTGCTCTGCCCTGGGGAGGCCCCATCTGCAGTGCTGGGTCCCGTGCTGGGCTGCCCAGGTCAAGAAAGATGAGGAGCTGCTGGAGGGGCTACGAGGATGAGGAGGGACTGGAGCATCTCTCCTACGAGGAGAGGCTGAGGGAGCTGGGCTTGTTCAGCCTGGAGAAGAGAAGGCTGAGAGGGGACCTAATAAATGTTTATAAATATCTGCAGGGTGGGTGTCAGGAGGACGGGGCCAGACTCTTTCCAGTGGTGCCCAGCGACAGGACAAGGGGCAATGGACACAAACTGGAGCAGAGGAAGTTCCAGCTGAACCCGAGGAAGAACTTCTTCCCTCTGAGGGTGACGGAGCCCTGGCCCAGGCTGCCCAGGGAGGCTGTGGAGTCTCCTTCTCAGGAGATATTCCAGACCCCCTGGACACGATGCTGTGCAGCCGGCTCTGGGTGACCCTGCTTGGGCAGGGGATTGGGCTGGGTGACCCACAGAGGGCCCTGCCAACCCCGACCACGCTGTGGTTCTGTGCCTCTCTGCTCATTAGCCCTCCTGTTTTCAAAACATGATGACCTCCGGTTCGCATCTGCTGTGCCTCCCTGGAGGGCTCTGAGGACAAGCCAGAGGTGCGCGGGAGGGGGGCAATATTTCTCTAAAAGTGGGATTAAATGCGGTCTCAGCTGGCGGCCGGCGCTGCTGCCCTGTGTGCCTTGTAGCAAAGCTCTCTCCTGCCAAAGCAGCTTACGCGAAGGGTTAATTCTCCCTCCGTGCAGTGACAACACGCAGAGTGACGCCAGCACGAAGGAGTTCTGGGTCAACATGCCAAATCTGATGACCCACCTCAAGAAGGTATCGGAACAGAAACCACAGGCCACCTATTACAACGTGGATATGCTCAAATACCAGGTAGGGGTTCTTTTGTAAGGCAGAACCGTGCCAAAAATGCGTGCTTAACTTCTAGACGTAAAAGCTGGTATTTCCCTAGCGCAGAGTGGAGGTGACGTGAGGTGAGGGCATGCTGTCCCGCTAGTCCCTTCTGGGTGTCCCTAGATTGCCGGGTCTGGAGCCCAGTACAAGCTTTCTATCAGAGTACAAGGTCTTGCCCTCCCCTGAAACCAAGTGTGATTACCGTGTCTGTAAAATGGGATTTCTCCCTCCACCCCTACGGAAACTAAATGTTTTTTCTGTCATTTTGGAAGGTATCTGCCCAGGGTATTCAGTCTACTCCATTAAACCTTGCAGTGAGCTGGCGGTGTGACCCTGCAAGCACTGACCTCCGCATTGACTACAAATACAATACAGAGGCAATGACCACACCGGTCGCTCTAAACAACGTCCAGTTCCTCGTCCCCGTCGACGGAGGAGTAACCAAGCTCCAAGCCGTGCTCCCTCCCGCTGTCTGGTAGGAACTGCTCACCCGACAAAGAGCTGCTTTGCTGTCTCTGCCGCGTCCCTGCCCGAACGAGCCGGCCTTTCCCGCGGGGCACAGGGGCACCCCCGGCGGTCCCTGCCGTAGGCGCAGGCACGCGCGTGTGCAGCCGGGAAGCAGGGCACGGCCCCGCTGCCTCTCACCCGTCGCTCGCCTGCGAAAGTGCAGAGCAAGAGCAGCGTTCTCCTGCTCGGGTCAAACCCGAAGCCAAGCTCCCAGAACTGGGAGCTCTGGAGAGCGGCACCGGAGCCGCTCCCCCAGCCCACACGGCCTCCAGCAAAAATTCAGATGACTCCTTCGTAATTCCTTGTTTCCTACAGAAATGCTCTCCTTCATGTGTTTGTAGGAACACCGAGCAGCAAAGGATATTGTGGAAGATCCCCGATATCTCTCAGAAGTCAGAAAACGGAGGTAATCCCGCAAACGTGCACGTTCTTAGCTCTGAATACCAAAATGTGCCGCTGACCCGTTTCTCGTGCCTGCACGCACGTCCAGACAC